CATCTATACCGAGGGCCCGAGATGCCACTTGTATCATTTTCGTGTGAAGACCTTGACCCATTTCTGTGCCACCATGCGACAGCAAAACTGATCCATCTACGTATACGATGAGTAGGGCTCCGGCTTGATTCAACAGTTTTTCAGTGAATGCGATACCGAATTTTGTTGGTATTATAGACATACCACGTTTCCTCCATCGATGTTGCCTGTAAAAAAGAAATGTCTTCGATAACTTTCTAGTAGTTTCATTTTGAACTAGAGATAATATTTCAGCGTATTCAAAGTGATTCAGTAATATCACTCGTTCACAAAGGTTCCCTAACAATAAGATAAAACAAGTCCGTTATCTAAATGTTACTCAATACAAACAAATTTTATCTACCTTAAAAGCATTTAAAAGATATTTGAGTTTATTTAATAAATGTTATAAGAACACTAAGGATTCATTGAAGAAATTAGTCGATAGTAAACAAGCAAAAACATACTTGTTAAAGTTTTCAATTGCCTTCTTTCTTTCAACGAAATTACTTTTTTCTACGCACTCATCCCAACATCTTTGTAATGTGCAATGCTCGAGAACTTGATTATAATGAGTTGTTAAGTTCTCTCGATATAGATTGAGTTGCATTACTTCTTCGATGTTTCTTCCTAATTTTTCAGCTACATCTCTCAGCATATTTTCAGCACCGAACATTCCTTGTGGACCACCGAAACCTCTAAACGCCGTGTTTGAAGGTAGGTTTGTTTTACAAATATGCCCTGTTACTTCTACGTTTGGTATGTAATAGGCGTTTTCGTAATGGAACATTGCACGTTCGACTACCTATAAAAGAAAATAAATCATTTCAGTTACAGTAATGACTTGTTAAACACATAAAGAGAATAATATTGTGCATTAAACCTTTATGAAATACACTTACTGGACCAGACAAATCAATCGAATATCCACCGTTATTGTAAATATTGACTATAGCACCCATAAGTTTGCCTTCTTTGGTGGCGGCGACTTTGTATTTTATTAAGAAGGGATGCCTCGTTCCGGTCATTTGCATGTCCTCATCACGATCTAACATACATCGCACCGGTCTGTTGAGTTTGTGTGCGGCGAAGGCTACAGGAATCGATGTCAAAATACCTCTAGACTCCTTGCCGCCGAATCCTCCGCCCATACGTTTTACACGCGCCACAATTCTATTCATAGGGACGTGTAAAACGTGACTGGCTAATTTCTGAAAGTAATTGATGTAAAAAATGAATTAATCTAGAAGCAATAATCCTAAATAGTTATCACTAGATTAAAATGGAAACATACCGCTATTTCAGATGGATGTTGGCTGGAGCAAAATATCTCCAGTTCATCGTCTTCTCTTTTGGGTATCGCGAATGCTGCGTGTGTTTCCAAATAGAAGTGTTCTTGACCACCCATTCTACATTCTCCTTCTATAATAACATGATTTGGATTATCAAACGCTGTTTTCACATCGCCTTTTCGTAAAGTTTTTGGAAACTGTTTATAAAACGAATTATGTTTGATGGCATCTTCAATAGTAACAATAATAGGCTGCAATTCCTCATATTCGACATGCACTTTTCTTGCAGCAGCTTGTGCGGTTGCTTGATCTTCGGCCACGATGACACCAATCGTTTGGCCCTGGCTAATAACTTTCTCTGTAGCGAATAATTCCTCATCATGAAATATGGGACCGATTGTGTTTTGTTCAGTAGTTAGATCTTTTGCTGAGAAAAACGCAACAACACCTGGTTGCTGTAATGCTTTCTGTGGATCTACTAGTTTGATTTTGGCGTGAGCTTTAGTGCTCAGAACAAAAGCTAAGTACAATTCTCCTTCCACAGAGGGCATGTCATCGCAGTAAATAGCCTCACCGGTGACCTGTTTCAATGCTGACATATGCGGTAAGGGTCGACCAACCGCATCACTCTTGAGTTGCTTATCTCCAACCAAATCGAAATATTGCGCACTTTTCGGTACCTGACCATGAAATTGATCAGCGCCACTGCTGTAGTACGGTTCAACAATATTATTTTGTAAGTAGTCCTGTGACATATGTTTACCGATTGCTAAATAGGCTTTTAAAAACAAACTCATTGTTAAAGCTCTTCTGTATAATATATTACCACCAGGTGCTGATGGATTTAAAGGTAATTCTTCTAGAAGATATGTGTATGCCTTTTCGAGCATTACTTCATCCCATTTCAAACCGACTAAAGACTGACTAGATTTCGTAGCAATTTTGGTGACTGGTGCCATACCTCCAAACGCCATATTAATATTCTTTATAATATCACTGTTTGATTCGAATTCCACGTTTATAGCTGCCGTGACAATAGAAATATCATCCTCTCGTCGCTTGGCTTGCTTATATGCCTTCACGTATTGATATCTAGTTGTAAAAGGAATTTCAATGGACATTAGTACCTCATCGGGTTTAACGACATTTCTACGGTAGCCAGTGAAAAATGTTTCGTCCATGAGTACAGAACGACGCCCGCCTTGTTTACTTAAAAGGTTTAATTTTACCTTCATCGACATCAAAATGGGATTTAAATCTGATATTGGACTGCCGGTCATAATATTTCCACCTATAGCTGCTACGTTACGTATTTGTTTACCGGCAAACCAGTATAACATGTCCTTTATTGTTACCAAAGATCTCGTTTGGTATTTAGGCAGTGTGTTAATATATTTATTGCAAGCGTGTTCTAGATCCATAAGTGTCACAGCTGCTCCAACAATAAGTCCGGTGTTTGATTCCTCTATAGAATTCATTTCAGGTACACAATTTGGCATTATTATTACAGGATAGACGAGGTGTTTAAATTTTACTTCTACTCCAACCTCTGTATTGCCGACTACAATTTTAGCATCAGGATATTGTTCTTTGAGTTTCAACAATGAATTTAAATCGGTCGGTCTGTACCATGTTGTACTTTTACCTCGGTAGATCAAAAATTGTTCGTCATACGAAGGAAATAATTTCAATTCCGGAGGAAAAATTGGTTCTTGACTAGAGTCATATGGCAAAAACGATGATTTATCGAAAATATATTTTGTTTCGCTTTTATCTTCAGGTGGATCAGTCTTATTTTTACAACACGCCTCGCCCATTGCGCATACTCCGTTAGTTTGAGATGTTCCATTTACAGTAACACGTTGACTCTCCCAATCCTCTATGAATGTTTTGTATCCTTCTATTATGGCTCTGTAGCCGGTACATCTGCACAGATTACCTTGTAATGCCACTTCCATGTCGGAATAATTTATTTTCTCCGAACTTCGGAGTAACGCGTACATGGACATGACAATGCCGGGTGTACAGAATCCGCATTGGGAGCCATGTGCTTTAGCTAATCTCTCTTGAACTGCATGTAATCTTGTCTTTGTTGAACCGATTCCTTCAACTGTGGTGACAGCTAAACCATGCATCGCGCACACTGGCGACAAACACGCGTTGATTGCTAAATGACTGCAGAAGTGAGTTAAAGATTCTAATAAAGTAATGCAATTAAAAATATATTTGATACTAAAAGGTAGAAACGATCTTTTAATCATAAAATGTTATCCGCAATTAAAAGGATACATGACTTTCTTCTCCTTGCGGTTGTATTTGGAAACCATGACTGTACAAGCCCCACATCCGCCTTCCGCGCAGCCTAGCTTGGTCCCCGTCAGGCGAAGTTTCTTCCGTAGATACCATAATAACGTCCATTGTGGATCTGGATTTGATTCTACTACCTTTACAATATAGAAACAGAAAAAAATAAAGAATTTGTAATTTTATAATAGTAATATCAGTTACTAACATTAATGATAACAAGTCAGTTTGCGACAAACAAAGTACGTAATATAATAACAAGAAGGGCACAGGGGTCAGTATAGCCAGGGTCGGCAGCCGCAGCAAACATTGCTCGCGCTTAATCTGTACATTATAAGAGAACTACGCATGTAATGATGAAATATTCGTGCCACTTTGTGCTAGTGTCGCCTCTAGTAATGCCAGCTTCACACGAAGGAATAGTAATAGTACAGATTTCGAGAACAATATTGTAAAAATAGCAATACTGCACTGTCTACTACTGTCTTGTTGTTTTGATCTCGTGTGAGACTAGCAAAGCAGTAGCACCTATGTATGATATGGTACGGACAATTTTTTTAAGATGTCCACTTTATAATTACATCTGGTACGTCACTTATCAATCGGTCGAATGATAGGTCATGAATGTTATTAACTTATCATGTCTGTACTTTTGACTGAATCCAATAGATTTGATGAATTCGATTCTATTCCATTAATCAATACGATTACTATGTGTTAGTACACAATTATGTTACGATGTACCGTACAGAATGATAAAAATATGCAATCGTAACTGTCCTTGACCTGATAGCAATTGTTGATCTAATTGCATGACGAGTTGATAAAAACGGTTATCGAATTATATGAAAGTGTCATCCTTTATTACGGTGTACTCCAATATCAAACTCCAATATCATGTATCAAACTATTAATATTTGAAAAAAAAACGCTATTACAACCTGCGTTGAAATATTTAAATGAATTTACCGGTTATATATTTTACATACAGGTAATTAAAATATTAATATGAAGTGTAGGGTACTTTCAACCGTTTAACTATTCCTTTCATATTAACTGAATAATTCAAAAGCTAATTACAAGTACTTAATAGAAATTAAACTAAATCAAACACTAATTCATAGTTAAAAATTTAATATCAAATCTTTGCAATGTTTGTCAAAATTTGACGACAAAATGTTTAAAATACGGATTAACAAACCCAAGTAAAAATCATAATATATTCATTACACATCCTTGGTAAACCTGTTTTATATTTTAAGATATTAATTTCAGTATCAAGAGTTCAATACAGTGTGATTATGTATGCAAAAATATTATCACACAAAAAAACCTTAAACAACGGAATTTTAACACTGCGTCGCAATCTACATGAGACGATGTAATTCGTTTTCGATCATTTCATAATATAATATATTCTTAAAACACATATAATGTCTTAATATCAACAGGCAAATATCTCAACTTATCGCTTTCCTTGGAACAATTAACTATTTATGTAATCTTAGATCACTTACCTTCTTTCCGTTCACATAAAAAACTAATTCTGTACAAATATCACTCTCCTCGTCCGCATTCTGTTGTCCCATAATGTGTGGTTTACTAGATTTTTTAAATTAATCAGAATTACGAAAGTGTCGTCCGAGTACCACAAATGCCCGATTATTACTGACAACCGTGGGGAACGGTCGAGCAATTTGATAACATGTTTCGAGTGCGCCCGCGCACATTACTTGCATCATCAACTTACCGATATCTTGAAAATAGCAAGATTGTTTATTACTAGACTCGTATGCGAAAGGAAGCGTTTTACTTTTTTACATAAATACTCTACTAGATTATTTTCTTTAAATTACATTTTCACATTTTTTGTAATATTACATATTTTTTTTATATAAGAGATGAGGGCAAACGAGCGGCAGGAACACATATAGGAATATCACAGTGGTTAATAATTCTGATGGTTCCTGTGGGTTAATCTTTTTTTTGTTAAAAAGTTAAGGGTTATGTAATTAAACCAAAGGTTTCACTGTTATCATTTTAATAATATAATCAACATAGTATAATAAACAAAGTAATAAAGAAGATTTATCTTTAAGTAAACAGTTAGTAAATGTGGCAGGTTGTATAGGTAATGTAAAATTTACGCCCAAATATATTTAGTGAACCTGTATACTAAAATGGTCTTGTGACGGATAGTTTAGTAGTCTTTCACAACCTTAGAATCCCTGTTTGATATAAACACTAATTAATGTTACCCAACCCAACCGGTTTGTACTCCGGATTAAGACTAACAAAACCGGTGGTTTGCCGATAGCCAACCTTTGGTCAAACCAGTAAATGTTCTACTAAAGACATTATCTTAAAAAAACTTTATTTATTGTCTAAAAATTTGAATTCCTTCATCTAACTGTATTTAGTAAGGTTCTGTTTAGGATAAATGCGTATGTACATATTGTGAATTTTTACACTCGTAAATATAATTTTTATAACAAAGCTTCATATCGAAATGCAAGTAATAAAGAATGCATTTATTATTATTATTCTTTGGTATTTCTTATAATCATGGAATCTAATAGCACAGATATTGTAGAATGGCACCACTTGATTAATTTTCAATTAGTTCAATGCACCTTGTGGCTATAACTAAGAAATGTAACTTAGATTTACGTAACCTAAGATCTGTTTTATAAAAATAGCACCAAAATTTTTAACCGTGAGTTTATACTGCGAAAAATCTTCCATGAAAACATATTGCTATCTCATGTTTTACAAGGAGGACAATAGAGATGACATGTATCAATGAATCGGCAGTAGATATCAAAGATTAGTGTGCGTTAAACCGAAATATTCCAAGGCTGACCACCCGATTTTATAGTTGGCTTGACCTGAAACAAACAAGTTGACACTTACGAATCTTATCAATATTTTATGTCGAATAGTAGACAATTCTATGACAAAATAATAAAGTTCAAATATTTTTTTTATAACTTTGATTAAAATCAACTAAATATCGCAAACCCACAATGTGTATAGTACCTAATTATATTAATATTAGTTACATTAATTCTTGTATTCAATACTATATCTAATATCTATTAGCTTAAAAATGAGTACCTGATCTGTGATTAAATCTTCACACGCCATTCTGATCCGAGCACACGTCGCTGGAGCTTCCAACACGAAGTCTGAACACATGTGCTGGTCCTCACGAGATGCCTTTATAGCCTCCTTAATAGCAAAGAAAACAGAAGCTGCCAAGAAGAGAGGCGGTTCACCAACAGCCTATAAATTTTAAATCATTTTAAAAATATATTCAATAGTTTTACCATGTGTATTCCTCTTTTAAAATATACTCGATTTCTTATTATACAAGAATAGAGTATTTAAAATTTGTCTAGGTCTGGTGTGATATTAATAACATAAAGTTACACAAATATTAATTACCTTAGACGAGTAAACAGCTCTTGGATTCGGTGCACCTTTTAGTAAAGAGACGTTGAACTCTTTGGGTATGTCAGAAAAACCAGGAATTTTATACATCCCTGGACCCTTTGTTAACACTTCGCCATTTGGAGAAAACAACACTTCTTCCATCGTAAAAAATCCATATCCTTGCATAAAAGCACCTTCAATCTGACCTATATCAATTGCTGGATTTAAACTCTCGCCAATATCCATTACAATGTCAGTTCTCAATACCTGATGGTCGCCAGTTAAGCAATCTATTATAACTTCAGAACATGCGACACCATATGTAAAATATTCAAATAGATCTCCTGAATTTGTGTTTCTGTCATATTTTATTTTTGGTGAAGCATAAAATCCGGTTGCAGATAAACTAACTCTATCCACATAAGCCGCCGAAACCCAATCCTCCCATTTACCATGCTCGTTTGATCTTATATATGGTTCTAATCTTTGTTTTATAGTATTACAAGCATCAATAACTGCCATGCCGTATAAATCTGAACTTAAACTTGCAGCTGTCGGTGAACTATTCGGAACTTTGTCAGTAGCCATTTCACTTATATGAATTTTATTAATATCTACACCTAACGCTTTTGAAGCCACTTGTGTCATTTTTGTGAAAAGACCCTGTCCCATTTCAATTCCGCCGATAGATAAAAGGACAGAACCATCATTGTAAACAAGAAGCAAAGCTCCTCCCTGATTTAAAACATCTGTTTGGAAAGAGATGCCATATTTCGTTGGAACTAAAGAAATACCTTTCTTTTTCCATCGATTACACCTGAAAATGAAAAAGACATACATATTATTTTTTTTTCTTTTTTACACAGATTTCATAACTGTTTGGTCATTTTAATACCTATTAAATTCTACAACTGCAGCTTTTCTTTCCCAATAATTCGAGGATTCGATACATTCTTTCCAACATTTGGAAATGGTGCAATATGTAAGAGCTTGATTAATATGTGTGAGATCTCCGTCTTGATACATGTTAATGCTTACTATTTCTTCATAACTTTTCCGTAACTTGGCAGCTACATCTCTTATCATGCATTCAGCTGCAAGCATTGCTTTTGGCGCACCAAATCCCCGGAAAGCAGTATTTGATGGTAGATTAGTTTTACATAAATATCCATTAATTTCAACATTTGGTGTAACATAACAATTGTCCAAATGGTATTGCACTCTTTCTATCATCTGAAACAGTTTCATGTTTTTAAAAATGTTTTTGTATTAGCACGTTTAAATAAAATGAGAATGAAAAAGAAAAATCTTACAGAACATGAGATATCCATACAATTCCCAGCATTGACATAGACATTGTATATAACACCAATAATTTTTCCATCGTCATTGAAAGCTACTTTATATTTTGTAAGAATTGGATGCCTGTAACCCGTGACTTGCATGTCTTCCTCCCTATCTAAAACAGCTCTTACAGGCTTTTTTAATTTATAAGCAGCTACTGCAACGGGCACAGCTAACACCGAAGCCCTAGTTTCTTTTCCTCCAAATCCACCGCCGATCCTCTTTACTTTAGCGACGACTTTATGATTTGGTATGCATAGTGTTTCAGATACTATATGCTGTAAAACAAAAAAGTTTTAGTGCTAAGACGTACCATTGAAACTCACTAAATACAAGACTTAAAGAAATCTATTGCTTACTGCTATTTCTGCTGGGTTTTGAGTAGTTGCTATAATTTCCAACTCATCTTCTTTCCTTACTGCAAAAGCTGACATTGTTTCTAAGTAAAAATGTTCTTGAGCCGCACTTCTAATATAACCTTCTTGGACATATTTAGCGTTGTCAAATGCTTGCTTTATATTTCCTTTTGATAGTGTTCTAGGATATCCAGAAAAGAAAGATTCATGTTTTATCGCGTCTTCAATGGATATAATCGTAGGTTCAAGGGACTCGTATGTCACAGTTACCAACTGCTTTGCTTGTCTTGCCGCACTTTCCGATTTAGCAATAATAGCTCCAATTACACAAGCCCTACTTGTTACAATTTCTCTTGAAAATATCTCCTCGTCCTTAAATATGGAACCCATTTTGTTACATTCTTCTGATAAATCATGAGCAGAAATGAAAGAAACCACATCAGGTTCTAATAAGGCCTTGCTAGCATCTACCGATTTAATTTTTGCAAACGAGTTGTCACTGAAAATTAAAGTTAAATACAATTCCCCTTCGATTTTTGGCATATCGTCACAGTAAATAGCCTCTCCGGTAGCTTGTTTTAGAGCAGAAGTATGAATTATTGGTTGACCGATGGTGTCGTATGGCTTTCTATCATTATTCTTAATTTCGAAACATTGTGAACTTTTCGGCTCTCCACATCTAATTTCTTGAATTCCACAAATATCAGTGTTCGATTTGGTAAACCCATTTATCACTTTTTGGTTCACATAAAGATAAAAACGGAAAAACAAACTGAGACAGAGGGATTTTCGGTATTCAGCCATACCACCCGGTGCAGAACTATCTAACTCCAATTCTTCACTAAGTGAATCAAAAACGACTTTTAATAAATTTCTATCCCATTGCATACCAATAATCTTTTCCGACGACTTCGTTGCACAAATAGTGGTCGGTGCCATACCCCCAAAACACAGTTTTACTTCTTTGATTAAATTATTTTGTTCTTCTAGAACCACATTAAAAGCTGCTGTAACAATGGATATGTCATCGTCTCTTCTTCTAGCTTGTTTGTATGCCTTGAAGAATTGCCTCTGTTTGGTGAAAGAAATTTCAATAGAAGTTATAACTTCATCCTCCTTCAGTGCCACCTTTCGGTAACCTTCGAAGAAATTGCTGTCAATAATTATTTCTCTTTCTCCTCTTAAATAACTTGAAACATAAAGTTTTGAGGAACTAGCTAGAAAGATGGGATTCAAATCAGATATGGGACTTGCTGTTACCACATTGCCTACAATAGTCGCAACGTTTCTAATTTGATTTCCGGCAAACCAGTGCAGCATATCTCGTATTGCTTCAATAACTTGGGCATTTTCTTTATTTTTTGATATCTCCTCTCGTAAGAAATTATTCGTTTCAGTCAAGGAAACAGCTGCACCTATTTTAATGCCTGTTTTCGAGGTGACACAAACATTCATTTCTTTGATAAACATGGGAGATATTAAGACAGGATATTTTTTGTTTTTAAACTTCATCTCAATTCCTACTTCTGTATTTCCCGCAATAATTTTACCGCATGGATATTCTTTTTTTAGTAATAGAAGATCCTTTAATGATTTTGGACGTATCCATGTAACATTTTGTCCTTTAAATAATAAATTATGTTGGGTATAATCGTCTTTTACTTTGAGTTCGGGAGGAAATATCGGTTCCTGTGAAGGACTGTATGGTTGAAATTCTGATTTATTGAATAAATTTTGATTTTCTGTCTTTTCGCTTGTTTTCATTTTGCAACAATCTTTACCCATGGCACAAAGACCAGTGTTTTTAACATAATTTTGTTCCCATCCTTTTGTGAACGTTTTGAAACCTTCTATTATAGGTCTATACCCAGTGCATCTACAAAGGTTCCCTTGCAATGCGGTTTCAAGATCATTGTAGTCTATTTTAGTTTTATTTCTTAACAATGCATACATGGACATCACGATGCCGGGAGTACAAAACCCGCACTGTGATCCGTGAGCTTTTGCTATTCTTTCCTGAACGGGATGAAGTCGATCTTGTGTAGAACCAATACCTTCAACTGTCGTCACTGCTAAGCCATGCACAGCGCAAACTGGTGTTAAACACGCATTAACTGCATAATGTCTGGTTATACGCTAAGGGAATATCATTTATATTGCACAATTACTATGTATTTAAAATTAGTCATTCAATTTTTACTTTACTACTTTGCGTTTAAACTTGGGAAACATAAAATGTGCAAAAACATTCATTTATCTTAAAGGTAATATGTTTCGGTACAGAGGTTTTGGCAACGCAACTATGTGATAAGACGAAAGAGCCGAAAACCAAAAGGATACTTGATTTCATCTTCATTTCGTAAGTACTGGGACACCATGACAGTGCATGCGCCGCAGCCGCCTTCGCCACACCCATACTTTGTACCGGTCAGATGGAGCTTTTTGCGCAAATACCACAGCAAAGTCCATTCCGGATCCGGAGAGCTTTCTATAACCTGGAAAAAGCTTAATGTTCCTTAGAAATCTATTATACCAAAAGTACCTACAATGTAACATTTAATTGTATAAAACTTGTTAATAACATAGCTTTTGCTACTATAAATAAGAATTTTAAACAGTACATGAATTTTAATGTCAACATAAACTTGTTTTGCTGTAGGCATACGTACATACGTATTATTTATATCAAAGATACTGCATGCATTTGTCTTCCGAGAACGAGTGAAGTTATATTTAAAACAAGTAAAATGGCAGTATAGAACCTTACTAACATTATAAATGCGAAAGTTTGTTGGATGGATGTTTGTTAGAGTTTGTAGCCTAAATTGCTGAACGGGTCTCGATGTTATTTGGCATAGATGTAGAGGATAGTCTGGAATACGTACATAGGCTACTTACTTTTTTTTAATCTAGGCAGTAGTCTTTATTTTATTGTACCAATCTGCTTTATTTTTTATTTCACAAACAGCACGTTTGAAAGCTGGGTATAGCTTCTCAAAAGCAGTATACGTTTTGATAAGCAAGGGTGAAATCATTTGACCTTTGCGATATTACATTGTAACTACAATAATACTGGACATAATGTACCTATTTACATCCTTACAAATTATTAAAATTACGATCAAGGTAGTAAACATTATGATCCACATATTTGTATTAAATATTCAATTTATAAAACATATTCCCGAATGTCACATTAGCAATAATAATAATAAATAACAATGTAGTTTTAGATTACTTCCACTGACTTAACTATAGGCAATATAAACAACATTAACTTTACATCTTGATAAAGTCCATAAATTAAAAAAAAAATAAATCTTACCTTCTTTCCATTCACAAAAAACACAAGTACTGTTTGGATCGGCTTGGAGATAATATCTTGCATTTTCTCCATTTTTTCACTTGAATAAATCTCGGCACAAACCAATCAATGTAATGCTTTCTATATATGAACGAACATAACGTGTGACCATCACCGCTCGATATCAGCGGCGCACTAAATTGTTGATGCTAAATGCGTCGGTATTTTCTCGTTATACTACATTAAGCCCAGGACACAGTGCAGGTTTTTTTACATGTATTATATTATCGACATTTATGAAAATAAATATTAATATGCATTTATTGCTTTAAAATTTCTTTTTTTTTTATTTAAATGTATACAACCCGTGCACAATAACATGAGATCTGAATACGACTTACAGTGATTTTTTAGCTTGTTATCTTATTTGTATGTGTTACATTTTTACGGCAATTTCCTCTTGGGCCGGTCGGCTTAGCGATTTTAATATATCGGCAAGCCGATCATCCCAACGACAAACTAATGACGTTAGCAATTTCATGTTTTTTATAGAAAGAGATGGATGGATTGCGTGACATGATCAAAAAGGGACTGATGACTGAGATGACGTATAATAGAGTTATGTGGAGGATAAAAACCTGTTGCGCCGACCCTACAGGAGTTGGATAAGCAGGAATATGATGATGATGATGTTATTATCCCAGGACACTCAACGAAACATGAGTAAGCAGGCGCGCGTGACGCGTTTTACACGAGTGCTGTTATCTTGATATGTAATATATAAGCTTAAGTTAATTTTGCTAGATTATAAAATATAATATTTGATACTTTTTCATATTTACCTTTATGCTCTTTAAAACTTGATAGTTAATACTTTAAATAATGGCATTGGAATGATGTACACTGCACATAAAATCTTAAATCCTATGATAATGCTATCAGAGGAGATATGCATGTGTGCCTGTTCGCTCATCTTTTTAAGTGTCCTAGGCAAATAATACCTAGGACAGTATATCAATAAATGGAGTATAATTTTTACTGTTTTCACATACCAATTTAGAAATTTGTCTAATTTGAAGTCACTTAATGCAAAATAATAAAATTCAAAGTCTTAAGAACATATCAATATTTATATTGAAAAGTACACATTAATTTGTTTACATAATTTATTATTTTCAAACTGAAAACCGACTATTATTAAAAAAATACTACATTTCTCTTAGTCTACAACTGAAATTATTTTACAGTATTATACAATTAACATAACAAAAACCTTCTATGCCGATTTCAGAATTCCTTTCTCTTCCATTTCTTTTTCTACAACTGTACCTTCATATCTAATTTTATCTTTTAACGCTGATTGTAATAACTGAGCATCAAATTTCTGTTTTGACCACATATATCTACAATATGACCAATAAACTAGTGTGGTTATCGTAAATGCTCCCATTCCAATATGTTGTGACAATAAAGGTTTTGATGTCTTGAAAAACGATGCTATACCAACTCCAATACCACTACTGACCCCATATAGAAAGCTTTCACGGAAACATGGAACTGTTGATAAGTCTCGACCAAAGAGAACTAAGCCCTGAAAATAATTATTAAGCTTATTGATAATTCAAGATATAGGAAAAAGCAATATCATAATACAACAATCATTTATTTACATGTTCTCTTGTATATATGCACTTTTGATTTTGAGAAATTTTTACTTATTTTCATCTCATTGTGGTTAATTCCTGCTAAATAACTTTCAAACCATTCGATAAGATATTGGTTTAAATTAACAGTAATTTTAATCTACATTATTGATTACATAAATGTAATATTCTGATATTTATTTGATAAAATAAAATGTTGTTAAGTTCCATTACCCTACCTTCTTTTCCTCTTCAGGATCTTCTTCCATCATACTTTTAACAACAGTATCCATGATTCTCTTTTAAGTTTTTCTTAAACAATTGCAGGTTTATATTTCTTTTTGTAACAATAGATGTAAATAAATAAAATAACCTCTAACACAAACGCCTGATATATTTACTTGAGCAAAATATTAATGTCAATGTCAATTTCATGGAATACGTGTCTTTGGTCCTCTTTGCAATTTGTGTTGCTAGAAAATATTTCGATGTCTTTAGTGAATAAGCTTTAATTTAAGAATAATTGAATTTCCACGTTAAATAAATATATGTGTCTGCGACGTGTTAATGTATGCTATCTTTTGCGAGATAATTCTTTATTACTAGGTACTTACCTGACTGACAATTTTTAAATACACTTGTAAGATGGTCGATGCCAATGCCGACAGCCATTTCGATTTTAATTACGAAATGTCAAATGTTTTCATGTCACTATGACATTTCCTTCTGCAAGAATTTCAGGCTAGGTTTAGGATTCAGTTTTGATGGTTGTGATTTAGGCATTGCAAAAATCTCAGTGAGAAACCCTCAAACTCAAACCGTTCTAGTAAAATTACGCTTTTTAAAGTACAATAACTACTTCTAACCTTTTTAGAAAGTTGTCTAGTTTACGTGGGCGGTGTTTTGTTAACATTTCCTATTATCTCAGTTTTATTGAGAGCAAAAACTAAAAGAACACCTCGTTTTGTGCATATGATTAGTATTCAGAAATAGTGAGATATGGCCTGCTAGTTTCGAACTGTATTGAAATATATTGCATGTTAGGTAAGTACCCAATTTTTTTTTTAAATAGAAGAGATCTTTATTTATAAATGTTACTATTTCCAACACTACACGGCACTTGTACTGTTTACTTTTTATTTGACTTAACGTAGCGTGTTACTCTTCTATGTTATTAATTTATTAATTTAAATATGTTTTTAAAACACAAATTATGAGCAAAATATTTTGGGTAAGGTTATTCAGTTTTGTTTCCATGATATAATTGTCCAATAATTGCTTGCCTATCCAGTATGAACCGTGTGTGATGGTTTTCTCGTAATTTTATTGTTGATAAATAGATTGATCCATGACTGATAGATCAGTGCCCTAAAACACTAGTTTATTGAGGGTTTAATGTAATGTTTTAATTATTATTATAGTATCTACTTAGTATACAATATAACAAATGTACAATTTCTATGATAAAAATTTATAATCTTGATTAAATAAATTTATATCTTAGTCACTCATTATCCTTATCATTATTTATAATAAATAACAATTTTCGTTTGATAGCCAGGTGTCCCAGTTTACAATCTTTATCTAAAAAAAATTGTCATTACATTTACCTTCATGTTTTGATGTGGTCAGTAGTTTAATTTTTTGATCATATTTGAGAAATCATTCAGTTCATATGCAATACTAGCTTTCACCCGTGACTATGTGTGGAATTAAAAAATAATATAAAAGCAAACACCCTATATGATCTCCCAGACCATCTTATACAGATATACCAAATTTAATTGAGCTTTATTAAGCAGTTAAGCTAACAATCTAACAATAATCCATCCATCTAAAGTTTCATATTATGATATTAGGAAGATTTAAATATCACATTCATGATAGCTATGTATGATAAATAAGTAATTTCTGATTGTTCAATAAAGTCAATGTGAAGTGGCTCAGAGTCTAGAAATAGACATGGCATGCAATAAGTTCCTATCGGTTGAGAAACTGACATCTGCAACGCCTCCGCCGTCGAGGCCGTGAAGGTTGCCGCCTCTGTAATTGTGACCTTACTGACGTTTAAACTATCTTTTTTTACAATATTTTTTATTGTATTGTTAAACTGGATTTCGTAGGAATTATGCGGTTTTCTTGATTTGGCGATTCGAAACTTTTAATTTTATTAATATATAGAGATCAAAGACTGAAGCAATTAGATTCTTCGTATGTTCTATATATTTGCATATAGTACTTACGCTACTTAATTTTTTAGGCAGTCAAATTATTTGTCAAACATTGTCGATTTACGACGTGCCAAATAAAATGCCGGATAGCTACTTGAATTGGCTGCTGATACAAGACTAGTTTTTAACATATCAAATTTAACGGCCGATACTGAACCGCCATCGCAACAAAAACTTAAAAAGCATAGAAATTATCGTAATCAATGTCGTTCACGATACTGTTCTGTAAAGTCGTGATACTTTCTCTGCTCATTTATGTAATAGCAAAAAAACAGTTCTGTAGTTACCTAATAAATTGGGTTTTTATTTGAATTAGTCTGGAAACTACGCAATAAATTTCGCAAACTTTTGTATAGAAGTATTTTTCCAAGACAAATTGAAACGAACTCATCGCCTTTCACAACTAAAGTAGCTGTGGGAACTACTTTACGTGAGTCAATTATTTCTACGATAATATGTTTCTTCTAGTTAAAGTACAGTTTACGTTATTTATTCTTTAGATGTTATTTCTTATTTTTATTCATCATGTCACAATTAAAGTTAATAGAAGAGGTCCTAAGAAGATCGATACAGCCATTATATTTTAACATTTATATTGTTTGAAGGTGTAATAAGAGGATTTCGTAAACCGACAATTTTTTTCCTGTCACTTTCCTTATATTACCTTGATTTGCCATTAAATTTTAATTTATAAGGCTATGCTCCATTGGTTTCCTGTTTTGTGCATATTAATCTGTTGTATTTATTACTATAAAAAGTAGCACACAGATGTTTATTACAAGGACAACCAAATGTGGACTAAGAAGTTTGAATTTGAACCTTTTTGATTTTTCGACACGAAATTTGGTGTAGATGTAGATGATAGTCTGGAAGAGTACATAGGCTACTCACTTTTTTTTTAATTTCACGCAGACGGAAACGCGGGCGAAAGCTAGTTTTTTATATTTCTTTACCGCAGCAGTCAATTATCATTAATAAAATATGATTTAGTACAAAATTTTAGATTTTTCTAATTTAATCTAAGTTTGGATAGATTGCTATCATTATAAAAAGATGCAGGCAATCCGATTGATGTGTTGGCCGGGTGCCATGTTCAGCGTGTAACGCGGTCCGGTACATCACGCATGAAGGATCAGTAACGATCCGACCCGAGGCCCAATGGCGCACGCCCTACTTACTTTTTATATCAATAAGTAAGATGGATATAAAACGTAATGATGTCCCCTCAAAAGGAATTCCATAATGCCTACCATGAAAAGATTAGCAATACACATAGCTTTCATCATCAACAGCTAACTTTACGTCCCCACCTAGTGGCTTTGAGACTAGCCTTAGTTAGGGTGTACCTTTGAAGAGATTACTTTACAAACGTCGGAACACCATATATTAGTCTTCCAATATATTAAAACAAATAACAAAATAAGCCACAAATAATACCATTTATTGTACGTATAAAAGATCGTAAGGGAGCCATTCGTAGCATTTTTACTTATAAAATTTACCTTGAAAGATAATATCTACGTTTTAAGCATAGCGGTTTTACTCGCTCTTTATCTGGCGAGATCCTAAACCCAATTATACACGTCACTTAGCGATGACCTTTTAAAATAGCATGAACTTTTAACTCGCACCGATTGTCTATGTAAAATCCCCACCGAAATATAAAGCCTTTACTCGCGAAGCAGGTGAATTATAAATTGTATTATAGTTGCTGTATACTTAAATGGAATATTTCTGAGATATTAAGGCTTATTATGTAGACATAAAACTGGATCTAAGTATAGTTGTATCTAGGTTACTTTTTCTACAAATAGCGAGTTATTTTGCTAAGAGGTTAGTAATATTGTGTTGGTTCTCATAGTAAAGTAGCAAAAGAGAAAACGAAAGTACGACGTTTAGAGTAGTTTTACTGGTCTTTTATTTTTACTGCTCTATTTAATAGTTTTCTGAAACAGTAGAATTAACCAAGTTCTAAAGCAAAATTGTGTTTTAGGTTTTTATTCCGGTTTGTAATAATCGTTAGCGTTTATATTAAACGTGTTTTAACTTATCTAAAATCATGTCTTAAATAATTCTGGTTACAATTTAATGTTTCGTTAAATGATTCGTAACTACACCAGGAATGTTACAGATGAATTTTCATTTTCCTGTTATTATCCTTATTTTAATAATTGTCACATGTTAATAATTCATGACATTGGTGAGGTATTAAAAACATGGTATCTGCATATTTTTGTATGGCGTAGTTTTATTTTTTTTATTTGGGGTAATAGTTAAAATTGCAAGTGCCCGGGATTCTCCATTCGTCGAGTCCATTTATTAATAGTTTGTTAGATAATTTCTAGAACGAAGCATTTAAATATATGTTACATTTGTGTAACTCAAGATAATTACATATGAGAACATATAGAAGTGAATACTCGTTATTTGTGTATGTTGTTTAGTATGATGCCGCCAAGATATGTGTAACAAACCTATAAATAGGAAGTAAAATAGACCAGACAACACAATAGTAGATACCTTTTAAGTTAAAACTAGCTATTATCCTATTCGATTACCGGTATAACATTTTTTATAAACGAACAGGTAAACGAGTAGCAATGACCTAATTTTAATTTTATTTATTACAATCTTTTGTTATTAGTGAACCATCAAACGAGTAATGTTGCATCTATTTTATATTTATATTAGGTCGCATCGTTACACTTAACGGCTCATTGATCTGGATAAAACGTTTTTACATACACATAAAGCTTTGAATTAAAAAAAAAATGTTAGCTCTTTACTGCGTTAAGTGGTAACGAAAGTATCACTTTTAAATATGGACGTATTTCCTATATTTCACAAACAGAAATTACATATTTTAAAAGTCTTAAATAGAAATAATTTCAAGAGAGACAAACAACAAGAAGTTAAAATTCGAATTTTCCTTAAAATTACTGTCGGTGATCCCAACTACAAATTTCCATTGTCAATAATAATCAAGTTTTCCTCGTGATCTTTGAACAATATGCAAATTACAGTAAAAAAAGATTAAAATGGATATAATTTACGTAAAGTATTTTCTCGTTTTTTTTCTCCGAGCGAACTTGTCTGGGAGCGAATAGAAGCAAGATATTTTTCGGAATGCAAGCAACTGGTTGCGTTATTGCCGCATACATCCTTCATGCCTCTCACTGCATGCCGGTTATCTACCAGAAGTGGAACATGCTTGATCGCATATTTTATGTGACAAACATGCATACTACTCGTACACTACGTAGATGATTTACTTAGAACTATTATTCTAAACTTTTACAGGTACTAAAGATATAACCGCTGTTATTTTATATACAATCTCGGACAATTTTTGCTTATCCGCGGCATTTCAAAGAAACGATCCTCATGGCAATGGAAAATACAGACAGTTCCATAACGAATGGCCCAGCGTTGAACAAAATTTGTTTATTTGATGTGCTTAAGGTCAAATTAATTTAAATTTCATTTAATATGCGTACCATTAACCTCCAAAGTAATTAAAATCAATAATTGAGTACAGACAGAGTCGATTTTCATGACGGTCAAATGTCAAGGAATCCAATGAAGCGGTCAGTTTTCTTTAAATCAAGTCTCACTTAGCGTAAATCTTTGTTTCAGTTATCAGCTTAATTAATTCAAATTGAGACGTGCTTTAGATCAAGTTTCCTTTAAAATTGTGCGGTTTATAGTCCTTCTTTTTAACATGCTTTTCTCCAATTTTACTCAAGTGGCATTTAACAAACAAGTTTGTGGAAAAACAATCGTTATTTATCTTCTCAAACCACAATTATACAC